GCGAAAGCATAGAATATCCGGAGCTTCCACAAAATTAACCAGAATGTTAGTACAGAATCAACAGACAAAAGCAGATGCAGAATCACATTCAGATTTGGCAATTAATTCTGAGAAAATAAATACTGAGAATTTGACCCCAAGCTTCCTTCCAATTGAAGTAGAAGCAGAACATGCTTTGGGTGAGAACCTCAGATGTTTTCAGACTCTGGATGAAACAGGTGAAGACAATCTTCAATTTGCCCATGGAATGGAATCCAATGTCTGCAAACAGTTTGGAAATTTTCCCAGCCCCAAAGAACTAGCAAACCTTGATGAAAATTTTCTTGCAAAGCGCTGCAGTCTTGGCTATAGAGCTGGTCGGATATTAAAACTTGCCCAAGGTATTGTTGAAGGCAGGATTCAGTTAACACAATTAGAAGAAGTTTGCAAGGAAGCAAGCTTATCCAGTTATGGTATGCTGGCTGCGCAGCTAAGCCAACTCGATGGATTTGGTCCTTTTACATGTGCGAATGTGCTGATGTGCATGGGATTTTACCATGTGATTCCCACTGATTCTGAAACTCTTAGGCATTTAAAGCAGGTAATCCTTTTGTTTTTGTCTCCACACATATAGTTTGTTTTAGATGTGCTGGCATAATTCATTGTTTTGTTAGTGCAGGTTCATGCAAGAAAGTCCACCATTCAAACAGTTGAAAGAGATGTTGAAGTCATCTATGGGAAATATGCACCATTTCAATTCTTAGCATACTGGTAGTTCGGACATAGCATTTTTCATGTACCTATTATTATTATTATTTTTGGGCAAAGTTCATTAATTCTCTGGAGTAATCTGCTTTCCCATTTGATGATTTGAACAGGGCAGAATTGTGGAACTTTTATGAGCAGAGGTTTGGGAGATTAAGTCAACTGCCTCCCTCTGATTATAAGCTTATAACTGCCAGTAACATGAGAATGAAAGCAATTCATCAAACGAAGAGGGGTAAAGCATCATGTGTGAAGTTAGCATAATGCTCTATTGTTTGTGCCTGCCTGGTATTTTATTTCATCTTTAGTTTTTATTTTGGAAGGAGATAATTTAGTCTTTTTCTTTCTGTGTTTTAAATCCTTCTGTTGCTCCATTAATTCCGTTAATTAGTTCTCTTGTCACGCTCATTATCGAGCTGCAAGGATTACTATTTACTGATATGATCAAATTTATGAAAACTAGCTTACACAGCAAGAATATTCATTGGAAATTGATGAAAGTCTTGATCTTGATGGTTCAATATTGTTTGCTATATGGGCTTTTTCCTTTTTTTCGTTTTTCATCTACCTTGAGAATTCGTGGAATTTACCTGATTTAAGATTAACTCGATTGCTAGAGCTGCTACTTAAGGACAGCTGTTATTAGTTAGATATGTTTGCAGTTGCACATAATAAATTATGCTCTTGCTGGGCATCTGCCAGGATACTGATTAAATAGGTTGATGGTTTTTTCAAAGTTGATACAAGAAAAGGAGCTTGTTCATAACGTCTGTAGCTTGCGTGCCACACGTAAAACAACACATATATATAGAAACGAAGGTTCTACAAGGGTTATGATTAAAACTGCCACACAAACATGGCAACCATTTGCTTTCAGAAGCTTTATTACAGAACTTCTGGTCTGTCATATAAACTACACCTGATTCACAGGTACGTATTACAACCTTTACTTTTTTTACCAAGTAAGGAGAGATAGTACAGCCTTCACTGCTGTCCTTTTCTAGCAGATATGCTCCTAGAGCCTTGAAGCCAGATGTCCCTGATGTTTTGCCCAAGTTCTGGAAATGCAAACTTATATGAATCAAGGCAATGTAAGCGAAAATAAAAATTTCAAAGAAAAATAGGTAATACTTTAAAAATGAATTTTTTAATCTTCTCTAATTATTTTTTAAATTTATAAGAAAAAAACTAACTTATTTTTAAAACAATAACACTTTCAAGCATTGCTAAACACCCATAATGTTTTATTTTCCATTGCTACATATAGCTTCATGGAAATCTATCTCAAGCCTTTGCATAACCGAAGGTGTCTCCATGTTGAATTTAGCTTTTAACGGTCTAAAAGGATGCCGTCAGCCATGAAATGGACCGAGGGACGAAATTGAGCACTCTTTGAAGAGCAGAGAGGGTGGACATGACATGCTAAGCTGAAATAAAGTAGAAGGGCGGACATGAGGAGATTTCATAGTAGAAGAGTTAAATTGAATTTCTTTACATAGTAGAGGGATGATAGTTGGCTTTAAAATCCCATAAAAAATAACGATAATGGGTCCCGTAAGAGTGTCGGCAAATATTTTATTTTTATCTGATCTGGAAGTTACAGCTGGAGAGTGAGGAGTCAGTAGTGACAGCGTTCATTTCGCCACATTTTCAATGCGGTTTAGGAGTAGAAGTTTCTTAGATGTTGTCTGGATTTGAAGAATTAAAAAGTTTGTTAAGAAGTTTTTAT